GTTTGTCATTATACACAAATTTTCCTAATTTGTTTGATGTACAGGTCCAGGCGAAAGACATAGTTTTCAACAAGAGAGATTATTTCTAATAAACCTTCTCCGTCCTCTTGAGCACTAATCTCTGCTCCTTTGTCAATAGTGAAAATGGGCTTGGTGGACTATTTGGAGTTGGAGTTGGGCCCATCAGAACATGGGCTTCATATCCAAGGTCCATTCTCTTTTGTCTTTTTCAATTTGTTCATAACATGATTAACCTCCGTTTCAACAGTCCACAACAAATAAATTAAAGAATATGAGAAATAGCACGTTTATTAGATGGCTGAATTAATTTCCAATTATTAAAACTCATAATGATTTCCCAAATATTAATGTTTAGGACTCAAAACATTTCTTTCTTTTCTTAACTATAATAAATTTGTAAATTATTACTTTTAAAAATGTTTTATTAATTAGTCAATAACATCATAGGTAAATAAGAATTTATTAAATTTTGAAGTGATTTTGAATATATTAATTTTGTGGATATTAGAAGACAAAAATTCAAGGCAGTATTAAGAAAAAAAGAAAAAAGAATTGTGGGCTTTGAGTGATTGCAAATCAAATAAAAGCCCAGAGGTGTTTGTCCGTACGGAGTACTCCGCTAAACGACAACTTGTGGATCTTTTAAGATCACATTTGTGTATTATGTTTTTGGGTCCCATTTTCCAATCCACGTGGCGGCGCCAACTAATCCTTCAATTTCTTGTTACTAATATTAGAATTTGTATTTTGTACGATATAAATTATATTAATTTAGTCTAAATATGAAATATAAATAAATTTTATTAATATGAGAAAATTATCTTTTAATATTATTAGTTATATTAATGATGATGGATTTCTTCAATAACTATAAAAATTAATTTAATGATAATAATAAAAGATTATGAACCAATTATTGGATAGGGGATAGCCCATCTTTTTGTCAATAATTTCTATTTATTATTATCCAATATAAAGTCAAGATCTTCTTCTGTTATTTTATTTTATATGTGAATAAGGAAAAATTGAATTTGTCTCTTTTTTGTCAAGCATGGTGAAGTGTTTTAGTGCAAATAAAGATCATTAATGTTTTTTTAATTAGACGGTTTAAATCATTCTTCTAAAGAATTGTTTGGTTCAATATCAGATTGTTCTAAAATTATAAATAAAGTTATATATCTCATTTTTTATATAAATAGATATCTCATGATTATACGTGATACAAAATTTATCTTAATTTTAATTAATTCCTTCAATCAACCACATAATAGATTCAATTTCTAATTTTTATATGAGTAACCTCTTGTTAAGTCCTTCTACCAAACAACCTCTAGAAGAATTTTAGAAAAGGATAAAAAGTAAATTGCTAGTAATATACATGATTGAAGACTCTAAAAAAAGTGATTAAACAAAAAAAGAACAAGAATACAAAACTAGAATAAAGTATTTATTATATAATTGCTAGAATGATTAAAGAGAAAGGTCAATGATTTTTTGATTTGACCTCCACCCAAAACCCCACATATGAAAAGATTGATGTTAGTACTAATAATAAAAAGAAAATTCATTTAATTAACATAGTGGATTGAGGGAAAGGGGTCAATTAAAAGAATGGAGAAAATAAATGGGACCCAAGTATAATAAAAACAAACATTTGTCAAATTATAAATAAATATTGAAGGCCCATATATGAGCTGGATTGGACACAGGGTATTGGCACCTTTCTAATGAATGCCCCTCTGCCCCCTTCACAATTATTTCATCTTCAATGTCCATTTTGCTACTTGCACCTCCTACATCTACTACTTGTGCAAATCACACCCTAAATTGTTTTTCTCTTTTTTAACTTCAAATCATATCTTAATTTAAGTCATGTTCAATGCCTTGTATATATAGAACTATCAATGTAGTTTAATATGTGGTTGGAGATATTTTTTTCGATCACACTAATTAAGTCGATACAAACTTGATGTATTATCGATCTTAAGTTTAGATTTTAAAAAAAAAATTTATGATAGACTGATAGCTAATGTAAGAATAACTAGCTTCATAATGCATCCTCATCGTCTTGGACGTACTTGCTAGTGAATTCTAATATATTTAATCTGAGCTTATATACGAGACTATGTTACCATCATTTAATGGTTAAAAGAAATAATTATGGTGCATGAAATTTGAAATTAGTGTGTTGAAAGGTTGAGTGTCAATATATGTTGACGAGTGATCCAATGAGGAAGAGCACATGATTTTGGGGCAGTGAAAGTTTAATCTATCTTTGACTAAATCCTAAAGCTAACAAGCAGAGGCCACCACATAAGTATTTGGCTAAGTACACTGCTACCTTGCTGCACATAAATATCAGTATTTCATGTGCGCATTCTTATTGTTCTGCTCATGTGCCTCATACTTTGCACCATTCCCTATAACACCTCCTTTTCTATTAACGATAATGTTCAGATCAATTTATATACACTTGATAATTATTCACTATTTCCCGTTTATATTAACACTAATGTTATCTTACTTTGGTTAAGATTAAGTTAAATTTTCACCTTACTCGTTTGAGTTTTAATAAACGAATAAAAATTTATATTTATTAAGTCTCTCTTATATTACGAGAGTTAGAAAGTTTGAGTGGATAAATTTAATTTAATTTTTTTATAAAGGTTGGTAGAGAAACTAAATTGAACAAGTGAACATTGGAATGAGTAAGATATAGAGCACAATCAAGTAATTAATTAATTAACATGATAGAGTACTATACTCCAATATGAGTATATTTAAACAAGGCAAGATTAAAGATTGAAGTGTGTGCGCACGTGCATACATGTGTGTATATCTGTTGGAAGCTCCCAAATAGGTCATATGCACACGTGCATACATGTGTGTGTGAGTCCGTGTTAAAATCAAAATGACTTCATGTGACTTCCCTTTCGTAATAAATGTCTAAAATCATTCTTATCAAAAAAATTTACTCATATCCGATATTAATTCATAATAATTAATATATATTTTAATCACAATATATTTATACGTCTTTATATAAAGAATGAATCTACATAATTTTTTTTTATCAATCGCTAAGTAATTCTCACTAAATCTTCGTTCGTGTCTAAGAGTTTAGATTAAACTAGTTTAATGTATATTACTACTATATTATATAGTACTAAAGTGCAAACATAGAGTTTTCTTGGAGATAAAAACGAAGTTAACAGACATAATCTGATGTCTCAAGCATTCCACGTCAGATTCTTGTCTGAGCATATGGCCATTTGAACTTTTTAACATAATATTATTTTAATACTAAATATACACACACTTGATTCAAGTCCCACTTGCTTTTTAAAACTTAAGTAATATTACAAATTTTATTACTTTTTCTGGCAAAAAGAGTTAGAGCACGATACATATTTAGAAAAAACTAGTCAAATGTTGTACCTTAATTTTGACTCGATTCGCTGACTAAAGTAGCATTTTTTTCACTCTATAATTTAAACATTAGTTAATCAAAATCCCACAGTTCTCCATTGGATTCAAATTCATATATATATATATATATATATATATATATATATATATAAATGCGACCTAATATGGCCTAATGCCTCAAAAATATTTCTATTTATGACAAGCTATTTGAAAAATCATTTTATGTGAGTAAGTGTAATTTTTAATATAATTCACACGAAAAATAATTGTATGTACCCTTTGTCAATTGAGCTTATAGTTGCTAATTTTGTCATCAATCATAATTGGTCGATGACAAAATTTTCTAACAATTGACATTCTATTTAACAAAACAAGGTATGCTTAGCTTTTTCATATTGAATTCTCGTTGTATGTGAGTGTATATTAGGAAATTTATGTCAATAGATATACGTACTCATATATAGATTCTTTATTGTAAATCTAATATATTTATTACGCGTATATCACTGTTTTAGATGTATACACGAGCAATGGAGAAGCCACATGCAACCAATGAAGAGAGTGCACTTAATTAAACTTTCTTTCTTAAGAGATTATACTTATTACTTTTAAATTTAAAATTTTTTAGACCTCTATTATTAAAAGTTGTTGAACCGTCACAAATTTACTAGTAGGAATAAATGTTTTTCAATATAATACATGTACCTAATTATTAATTTTTGAATAATAGGAGCCAACAATTAAATTTGTAGTGGGAAGAAGAAATTAATAAAAGGATAGAGGCTATAGTTGTCCAAATACTGAGGAAGATTGAAAAGTGTACCTTCTCTTCTGTTTTAAAACGTACTCAGTGCCTCGCTGTCCACCATGTGATAACGTTGTGGCTCCGTTCCCATCCATTCCATCAATTTCTTCTCTCACAAATACACCCATATTACTTAACACCCCCCCACCCCAATTAAAACGGGTGGATAAGTTGAACCCATCATTTTTGATACCGAATATAATATTATTGACGATGACTTAAAACGGGACGATACATACAAGTTGAAGTAAGACTGAGAGATTATTAGATTGATACATGCACACGTAAAAAATGGATGATACATATTATGAGTTGATATATAGTACATATAATGAATCCTAAACTTGACTTCAAATTTTAACTTAAACAAATACTTTAACTATCCAACTTTTAAATAAATAAACACATGACATAATATACGTAGGACAAAAAATGACATGTAGGATGACATATAGAACATTTGTGTCTATTTGTTCAACTTTGTACAAGTTTAAATGTCTATTTGTGCACATCCAAAGTTGAAGGATATAAATATGATTTGAAGCCAAGATAAATGACATATTTATATATTATGTCTTATGAATTTGAGTCTCTGAAAAAATCACTAATTAATATATTAAATTTAATGATAAAAATCTTTAAAAGTTTGAATTCTTTAAGACCTAGCGCTCTTTGTCATTGCCTAACTGTCATTTTGTGATTGATTCATATATATGGGAGAATAGAGTGCTTGAGTACAAAACAGGTCTAGGATTTCAGCCTTGATTCTCTTTTGGTCTTTTCCAATCTCCACTCTCATTTTTTGGCTTTTTCCTCTTTAAAAACCCCACACTTGTTTTAAAAGGACTAAATAGATAGAGTTAAAGAGGGGGATGTGTCACATATTTCTTGGACTATTTAGCAACAACAAAGGGTGTCTCACTACTCACTACTAACAATACTTGTCTAGTGCTTTTGCTCATCATTCCCAAACACACACACACAAAAAAAATCCCATTTGATTTGATTTTTTTTTCTTTCTGTTAGACATAGAAAAAAAAAAAATCAAAATGGATTATGGTATGATGGGAGGTGATTCAGAATGTAGTAGTGGTTGTGAGTCTGGTTGGACTTTATACTTGGAAAATTCTTATATAACTTGTTGTAAAGGTGAAAAGAGTTTAAAGCAAAAACAAGAAGAAACAGAGGAAGAAGAAGATTTGTCAATGGTATCTGATGCATCTTCAGGACCTCCAAATTTTCATCAAGAAGAAGAATATGGACATAATAATATTATTAATGGTGCTCATTATTATGCACCAATTAGTAATCCAAAAAGGCAGAAATCTAAGGATAAAAAACAAAAACACAAACAAAAACAACTTTCTGTACTGGATGATACAGCTAGTTCACCTATCTTTGATTTCTCCAATGTAAGTTTTCAATTTTTTTTCTTTCTTCTTTTTACTAAACATATAAATTTATGTCTTGCATTGTGACATTATTTACCTACTGTTTGTTACAGAACAATTTCAGTAATATCAACAACAACAACAACACAAAGTCAGTGGAAAATAATGTATTGGATTTTTCACAAGGTTATTCTGCAACACATTTTCAGGTACTTAAAAAAACAATTTGTGCATGTATTAATATTTATTTTTTTGAAAAAAAGAAAATACTAATAATTAGTTTAATGCAGGGGAGATCTACATACCAAGAACACTATGGTTATTTCCAGTCATCTTTACTACCTGGAAACAAATTTCAAGAAAATCAGTAAGTTCTGTTTTTCCTTTTTTTCTCTCGCATAAATAGTAGCCTTAGAGCAACATTAAAGTCGTTACAGTTCTGTTTTGTGCACTAAATTGTTCTTTTATTTTACGAGAAATAAGCTATTTTGATGATTTAATTAATTTTTTTTTTTTTTCTTGAATAGATGGTTTGAAGAGAAGAGGTGGGGATAACAGCTATCAGTTTTTTTTTTTTTTAATTAAAAAAAGTGCTGATGTTAAATTGCAGCCAAGTGAATGTTTAGAAAGTGGGAAGGAGTTAAATTTGTCAAAGCAAAAGGAATTGAATCTCCAAAGGGATTCTTGTTCCTTTTTCTTTTTTCTGTTTTTTTTTTTTTGGTTTTCTTTTGGCTGTCAATGCATTGGGAAACAGCTTTAAGAGAAAAAAAATGGGAGTTAATTTCCTCTCTAATTATCTTGTTTGTCAATGAATAGTAGCTACAGTTTAGCTCTTCTTAAGATCTTGTTGAACAGCTTTTTTTTTTTTACTTTTCGGTTTACGAAAATCACTAGCATAATTAATCCAAATTCGAAATGAATGAATAGTTTATTTCTTACCAAAAAAATATTCATTGTGAAATCTTATTTCTCTATTGACCGATCATTTATGATGCATTATTTATTAAACATGTCATCAGTTCTCAATTAAATCAAGATTTCTAGAGAGGATATGAGAAATTTGGTCATATTCCTCTTAGGTCAGCAATCTTTTACTTCTAGTCGAAGAAACAAATAATCATAGTCAATCAAGCCAAAAAAATATTATTCTAACAATATCCTCAAATTAGTTTTCTATTGATATACTAGACTTGCAATGGAATAAAACAGGACTGTAAAGTAATCTTTTTTAAAAAAATTAAAAATAATAATATGTGATTAGGTAAAGATTTGTTGAAATTCATTTTGAAAAGCTTTGTGTCCAGTAGAAGCTGAACCAAAATCTTGGAAAATGCTTGGCTATATAATGTAGACAAGACCTTATTTGTCTCTTGGTGTCCAGACAAGAGTACATTCTGATCATAGTCAATCAAAGATTTATTATGTCAACATTAATTAAGAAGAGATGAATTAAAAGTTTTAGGATAATTGTAGAAAAAAATAACCTTATAAACATTTTTGATATTTTTATATGTCAAAAACAATTGAACCTATGGTTATGGGTAGTAAGAGAAAAATGTATAGAGAGAAGCCAAAATTAATATTTGGAATATTTCTTATATGCAAGTTCATGATCCTTTTTACAAGTGCAGAGATCCTGCCTGAGATTTGCCTGACCCAATGCTACATGCCATGTTTTAATTTAATAATATAGTCTACTCTTTATCTAATTTGGAAGCATCTTCAATATAAAAATTATTTTATATAAAAATTATTTATGGACTTATATAGTATGTTTTACTCCCTGAATTTTGTCTTTGTTGGACTTGATGTCATGCATAATTATATGCCTTTTTCTTTATTTTTTTGGACTTTTCCCACTTAAATTCTATTTCTCAAACTACAGTTATCTTTCGAGTATAAGAATTAAAAAAAGAGAGAGGAGAAAACATAAAATGTAATCGAAAAACAACAACGATAAGTAATCAATTATACACTAATTTGAAACGTAGGGCTTACCGCTATTACTATCACCATTGCTCACAATTGATCACCAACCTCTAATTTTTAGAGTAATCATCACCACTCGTTATTATTATATATTATCAATCACCATCATCATTCATCATGACCCCATCAATCGCCACCACCAACTATTTTCATCTACCATAACCACTAGCTACTACTCACAACATCAACTTCACACAACACTTATGACCACCATCACTAGTCATTACTATCATCAACCACCATCGTAATACTGTTGGATTATTGATATAATCCTAGATTAGTTTCATATTTTATTAACTTAAATATAGAAAAACTTTAAAGATTCAAATATTAGGAAAAACATAAAAAAAATTTATTATGTAGGGATTCTAATACATCATAGAGTACGTAGTATTTAGCTTCCTAACCTCAACTTACTTTCTTTTTTTAATACAGCAGCATAGGCCTTCACACTTCAAATAAGCGCATGATCTATAGACCACGAACTCGAATTGGGATTTACGTCACGATAAGGTGTCTACATCATATCCTTAGAGGTGTGATCCTTCTTTGAACCCTAAATGGTCATTAATAACTATGTAATATGGAGTTATTATTCTCTTTCAAGAAGTTGGGACATAAGAATATTCTTAGTCCAACAACTGTTTTTTCGTATATTCCTATTATTATCAACAAATAATAGATTTAAACAGTAAGAAAATAGTGAGTCCACATTATGCTCCATGTATGAACTCACTAATATACAATGTTCTATTTTACTAAATAATCATTACAACTCCTCAAAGGAAACAAGGGAAGAAAAATGAGTTAAAAAGACAAAACAAACATGGATACAAAAGGAAGATAATTAGTTTATTTTTTATTTTTTTTGGTTCATTAAGATGATTTGTGGTAGATAGGAATCAAGAAAGTATGGGGCAAAACATTGTTGTCCTACCAACTACCATCAAAATAAAGCCTTAGAATTCAATACCCTCTAAAAAGGCACACACAAGTTCCTAACATTTAACTTTGATATATGGTCCTGAATTTAATTTTTTACCTTGTACTGTTCCCAATCCTCATGACAACACAATACTCTTCACCTTCCATTATTCACTTTTATTTAAAGGCCCACAGGAGGCATGTATATGGACTGTGTTTATTATATAAACATGCACAAAACTGTACTTACATCACAACCCGTACCACAAAAATACAAAAGGCTGGTAACTTAACTTGGATGTAACAGGGCATGGATCTATCTCCCTGCAAATACTTTACTGTTTTTCTCAAAGTTGCCCATACAGTTTTCCTCCAAAATGGAACTTTCATTTCCATTTTTCTTTCTGTAAAATTCACTAATACGTACCACTCACTGTCTTCCTCCTTTATACAGATTTGGGACCAGTGATCTGTCGACAAAGTAAGATCTTCACCAAAAAAGTCTAGAGGATTCAACACCAAAAATACACTCACTAAAAACATCTAACAAGGCAAAACCACACTCTAGCTGAAATCTATGGGCAAGCAAAACAACAAGTTGCCAGTCAGACAGGGAGCAATGAACTCACCCTAGAAAATATAGTGGACATCATAATATAATCTTGTGAATATCTACGACAAGCAACAACATATTCAGTGAAATCCCACAAGTGAAGCGTGGGGAGGGTAGAAAATTTAAAGAGAAGAAATAAATGGTTCAAGATACTTTTTCGTTTTCATTTTGCATGTATTATTAAGACAGAAAATGTATGACAGAGGAGGAAGGGTGTTAGTACAAAGAAATATCTTAGAAACAGCTGGCATAAGGATCATAAATTGGAAGGCAGTTACGAGGTCATGACATAAGTTAAAAGAGGACCACCAGAAACGAAAGATCAGATCTGATTACTACTATCAGATCGTTTCAGGTTTCTAAACTATAGTGGACTTGGCCTTTAAACTCTCACTGCCAACACTGCAACCTTTCATGTACATACAGCATTGAGCATCACCACACAATGTATCCACAACTCAATATAATGATGATCATTATGAACTTTATCAAAGGTGACCACCATTCAATAGAAAGGGCTTGGCCTCAGATATGGTGCTCATCTTTTCACCTTTTCAGGCTGTCACAAACTTACAAAATGTTGAATCTTGTCAAACTGTATCAGTATAACAGCTAAAATGAATTCCATCACTTGAAACCATTCATCAAAACATGGTTGAGCTAAAATATACATTTTCAAGTTCAATAATTATTTCGGAGAATCGGATACACTTGTTATATAGCACACTATAGGTCATGGTAAAATTCACTTTATCTTGTTTTTTTATCTGTCAAATTGAATTACATGTCAATATATTCACAAATCTCTCTGTTCACTCGAGCAATTGCTTGTGCTTACCCCAGGCAATTGCAACTACATATAAGAAGAGACTGCCAGTGGCACCACCACCGATTGTCCATAAGAATTCTGGCATCCCAGCTTTTTTCTCGTCGAACAGTTCAATGTTAATGTTCATACCGAAAATTCCAGCCACAACAACAAAGGCGCTAACCACAAGAGTTGCCGTTGTTAACATGACTCCCATTTGCAACAGATGGTTCTGCTTGTCATCCAGCATGATGTTGATGTAGTCTTCTGTGTCATCCACATATTCACGTAGCTGAAGAAAATTAAAACAGATTCAAAAGAGAGAGATCACAACAGTGGAACAAACTAAAGTTCAGCATCCATGTATACAAAGTAGTTAACATTGAATCTGGTTTAGGTGAAAACAAAAGACATTTATATAGCAAGTAGGTAATAGAACAACAGTTCATGTCCAAATTTGACTTGTGTGATTGAACTTCATCTCTGATAATGCTATTCCAAAATCAATGTCATTATTTGCAATTACAACCCACATGCAGTGGTTTTTATCCAACATTACTTTTCATCTATTATCTGAGCTTTGAAAAGTCAGATAAAATTAACTGAGAAAGGGAATAGCTAGAGAAAGTCAAACTAGGATGCAAAATAGAGATGACAAATAGAAGAATGCAGTGCATCATCACCTAGGTTGTATCATTAATAATGCACATGTGAAATGGTGATGCAAAATTATTCTGAAATGGTGTACTGGATGCTACAGTCATAAACCTAAATCTTTAAGGTATCTGCATAACCGAGGTCTTCTTCTTCCTCTAAATACAACAAAATTCTTTCTTGATAAACTTAATTATAACTAGGCCATGATGCAGCTTTTAGTTTATAGTTTCTTTAAATGTTAATTGATAAAGATTCACCTTTTACTTTCTGTTCCATGTGAAAACTTAGCATTGTTGCTCACACAAAGAAATTAGAATGCATAATCTTACTGATGTGATTTCTTCTTCTGGTAAATGTATCAGAATCAAATGCCATTTGATTGCTAAGGTAATTGTCTAAATTCTGAAGCTTGGTTGGTCGTCAGGTTCTTAGTTTCTCTGCAAGCTACACTTCATTAAAGATTCCATTCGAGAACATACTTCTGGCTCTATATTTAACCATTATATACTCTCTTGCGATAAGAGAGCTAGCCATACAACTGATACATATATTTTAATGTATCAACAGAAATTGATAATACTGTCCAAATCCTTCCAGAAGCAAATTTCAAGAGGTGCACAACTATGGGGACATAATTTCAAAATTAACTGTTGGTCAGCGGAGGACAAAAATATTATTAAGAACAGAACTTCACTTAATTAAAAAGTTTGGATTGGACAGACTTCAAAAAATCAACCTATCTAAAGATCTGTTCCCTGTTTTTATCAGGGCTTCACAATCACAGCCTGTATCTGTTCCTTTTTCTTAAATCCTCTTTGAAGAATTATAGCACATTTTCTTGAACATCCT